ACACTGGATGGAGAAACTCTGGAAGATGTGGAATCTTTCACGCACCTGGGAAGCATCATTAATAAACAAAAAAGATCTGATGCATATGTAAATGCGAGTATTGGTAAAGCAAGGGCCGCATTACTACAGCTGAATAACCTATGAAAGTCAAAACAATTGTCAAACAATATCAAAGTCACAATCTTCAATATGAACACCAAGACAGTTAGTTATATTGTACAGAGCTGAAACGTGGAAAACTACTAGAACAATCATCAAAATGGTAGAAGTATTTATAAACAGTTGTCTACGCAAGATACTCAATATCCGATGACCGGATGCCATCGATGACATACTGTGGGACACAAAAAAGCAGATACAAACTGAAGACGAAATCAAGAAAAGACGTTGGAAGTGGATAGGATATACGCTGTGGAAATCATCAAACTACATCACGAGGCAAGTCCTAACTTGAAATTCTTAAGGTAAACGGAAAAGAGGGACGCCAAAGAACACACTCCGTCGTGAATTGGAAACAGACATGAAAAGAATGAATAACAACTGGAAACACGTAGAAAGGATCGTCAAGGACAGATTTAGATGGAGAATGCTGATGGAAGGCCTGTACTCCTCCACGACGGGTAACAAGTGTAAGTAACTAAGTAAGAAATTATAGTAAAATGTCAGATTAGTACACAAACTCAGTTCATGATTAGTGATAGTGTTAATTAATTGACCAGAAGTAAAATAAGTTTTGAATAAATCTCACTCTTCAGGAGAAACCAACAATTAATCCACTATTCAGCACTAATAAATATCTCGATAGTTGAGGTCATGCATCAAGTGAAGCTAGACCACCATGGAAAACCAGTAAGCACAGGACGGCCGTTTCTGCCTGCTGTAAGATTCTTCAGCAGCGAGCATCCACGATCCCGTCTCGCAAGATTCGTACCCAAGAGCTATCAGTCTTGCGCACGAGCGCTTAACCATTAGACCACTGAGCTACCACTGATAGGTCCTGGGTTCAATTCTCACAAGGCGGTATCGTGGATGCTCACTGCTGAGGAGTCCCATACCACGACGAAACGACCGTCCAGTGCTTACAGACTTTCCATGGTGATCTAGTTTCAATTGACTAATGATCTCAACTACTGAACTTAATATAATATCCACAAAAACCCTTCTGATATGAATAATAAAGATCATTAAATCTCTGACACAGATATTTGAAAAATTCCTTTATTTTAAATATACTACTTATATACAATATATCAGCCAATATTCATGATTAAGACCACTTTAATGTGAACATACAAATTTCAATGAAATACCTCAGAGTATTGATTTAACCTAAAAGTACACTATTCAGTAGTATTCTAATCATGTTTTCTTCATTTTACTTTCTTATTCTTCTTCTTCTCAAATAGTCACATGTCTTGTATACCTACTAGCAAGATTAACTCACTCATAATCAAATCATATTAGATAATGATGATATGTAATAGTAAAGAAGTAAAGAGAAATAGTGATTATTTCTTTATATCATGTGAGATGCTGAATAAGCATATTAGTTATTAATAAAGCTTATGATTTACCAATCATTGACAGTTTAGAAATTCAATAAAGTTTGAACAGTTTTAGATAGAAGATATCGTGGTGTTGAACAGAATCATCTTAGATTGGTAGCCCTTAAATGCTCTGGTACCGGCAAGAGTAGAGATAGTTAGCTCTGCATTTAGAAGTGCTCTTACATGGCCACATACATACAATTGCTGACAAGGAAGTTCTGCTCACTACCTTCTCGTGGTGAAGGTGTTGTTTATGAAATTAAGACGATGAGAACTGAATGCTTAGATAGCTCAGTGGTAACGTCACTAAATGTGAAGCTGGATGACATGGGATCGAATCCGTTAAGGTGTATCAGTTCACCCAAGATTACAGGTACACCTTGCTGATGAGTGCTAAGTAGCACGAAACCTAGGTCCAGAGTTTCCTGCTGACTACCTACAACCATCACCTTATCTAAAGTTGTTTCAATATTGATTATATTCCGAAGGATTTACGATAACAACGTCTTATGTACTAAAAAGCGGACAACGAGAACTAGTACTACTGAAACCATGTCAACCTTTTAATCTAGACTGTTATAGTAGGTGCTGCAAGATTCAGCGGATGAGATTTATTATTATTATTATTTAAACACATAAACATAGGTACAAAGAGGCACCACATATATATGCACCACACTTTTTCAATCGATTTCTGTGAGGGATGGGATACTATCCAGGCGATCAAACAGAAACAGATGGTTTTTTTAAGTGACCACACCTCGAGCCTTCGACCTAAAGGTCTGATCTACAAGGCAGTGGAGCAACGTCAGGAGATGCAGTCTCATGGTAACCGGTGACAAATAATTACTTCATATGCCATTTACTTCCTTAGTATCCTGGAACCCATATGCACCAGAAGTTTGGAATCAGGGTTTTCCAAATCCACTAGGTGGACTCCCTGCGTTCACCAACATTGTTAAAGCATCGAATATTCGCTTTCCATCCTCTCAATTTCGTAAACAACAATAATGCCGAGAGAAGGCAGTGATTAAAACTACTCTGGCAGTGGTTGTATGCACGTGGTCACATGACAGCATTTGGAGGGGGGAGGGCAGACTCTCTACACCCTCGGTCATACCAGGGCATTGTTTTCTTTCCCTATTTTAGTCAATGTTTTCAATTGAACAATCAAATTGACTCTAGTAACGAATTGTACAGAGTATAGTATATCATTCACTATCTAATATAAGTCCAAACTCTATGTTCTTACAATGTATTATCATTTATACTTTATTTCAATTCAATTACCGATATTATCTTGTTCTAATTTAATGAAGGGTCTTATTACTACCTTTTATTCCCTGCTTAGTAACAACTTAGAATCAGATTATTATCATTATTATTGTTGTTATTGTTATTATGACAAGAATTCTCAGATTATTGTTCATAATAAAACAATCATACTGTTCTAATCTTATTGATCACTTGTTACCTTATTTTCAATCTGATCAATTAATATGTCAACTAATTGGACAATATTCTCTTCAATAAAATTTGGGATAAGCAACAAGTATCAACAGACTGGAAAGAAGGACTTCTAATCAAAATACCAAAGAAAGGCGATCTCAGCAAGTGTGATAACTACAGAGGCATCACTCTTCTCTCAACAACGGGACACTATTAACAATAACCAACTGTGGGAAAGAACAAACCAGATCCCAGAGGAGGAAGAAATTAGGAAGAGGCGCTGGAAGTGGATAGGTCACACATTGAGGAAAGCACCCAACTGCATCACAAGACAAGCTCTGACGTGGGATCCTCAAAGCCAAAAGAGGAGAGGTAGACCAAATAACACATTACGCCGAGAAATGGAGATGGACATGAGAAAAATGAACAAGAATTGGATGGAACTAGAAAAAAAGGCCCAGGACAGAGTGGGTTGGAGAATGATGGTCGGCGGCCTATGCTCCATTAGAAGTAGCAGGCGTAAATAAGTTAGTAAGTAAGCAATTGGACAATAGTATTTATCGGGAGTTAAGGTGTGGAATTGTCTTGATTTATTATGTATTGCTTAAATATTATATCAGTAGTTTACATTTTATAGATTTCTAACAAAACCTGTTTGATTTGTACAGGTTTTTCTTGTTTTTATACATTGATAGATGCTGGATCAATAAAAATTTATTGAATTCAGGTCATGAATCGATCAATGTTAAGCCATCATTGGAAACCTGGAAGTATTGGATAACCGCCCCGTTTTACTATGGGATTCAAGAGTGTACATACGCGATTCTGCATTCGGTATTCGAATTCACAACCTTCAGTCTAGAGGGCTAACGCTTAACCTCTAAAGCACTGAGTTGACGTCCAACTGTGTTAGTGTCTAACTTCAATCATGTTACATTGTCTTCTGTGGGTAACGGCTTCACAGCCGACACTGGTCACGGCTTCTTACTAGAACTCCGAGAATTCCCCCGTCGAAGCTAGTCACTAGTGAACACATGATATTTATCAGTATACGGTTGTGAAGATTGTTGACTTTCATTCAAGATCATGAACCGATCAGTGTTAGATCACCACTGAAAATCTATTTGGTAGATATCTGCTATTACCCTATTTAATGGTTGAATTCATGAGTCCATTAAAAGTAGATCAATAATGAAAACCTGGAAGCATTAATCGGCCATTTCGATCTAGTATAGGACTCTCTAGAAGTGCTCATTAATGATCTCTCATGTGAAACTCGAACCCAGGAACTTTGATCTCATGCGCCAACACTTAACCTCTAGACCAACTAATCCACGATATTGTGCAACCGTCCACCATTATGTTCAGTGAGTAACTGTTTCACCTTAATAATAACGATCATGCTACATTTATGTGATAATCTTATTATCACTTCTATCTAAAGTCTACGCTCATGATGTCATTCAGAAGAATGATGAAAGCTTCACAATCAAATCATCCAACTCAAAGAACTAAAACTTTATCACTTAATATTGACCTCCTAGTTTCCATGACTAATCACTATCCATCTTTACTTACTTAAAATTCGATTCATTTCATAGAATAATATAAAGTAAAAAAGAAAAAAAATGAGAAAAAAAGAGAAAAGAAAGAAAGAAATTCTTCAGTTTATAAATGTATACACAGTTATTTCACTTATATATAAGTCATATGATGCAATTACATTTTTATAAAGTATGAATATTGAGAATAAAACAAAATAAAAACTCATATAGAAACAAAATGAACACGTAGATATATGTGTGTGCGTGTGTGTACGTGAGCGACAGAGAGAGAGAGGAGGGAAGGAAAAGAGAGGAACAGAGGGAGGTAGACGAGTATATAGTGAATATAATAGAACGTCACTCTCTCTCTCTCTCTCTCCATATATGTATATATACATATGCAATTGAGAATCATCAGATATTTCAAAGGAAAAACAAACAAACAAACAACCAATTGAATTTATTTTCTTGGCTCTGATATTCCACTAGTAGTAAAACATGGTGATGGATCAACACGACCAGCTTTACCTAAACCTTTACCAGTTTCTATATCAAAACGTTCTTTATGTGAACCAGTAAATGTTTTTACATTTGTCAATCTAGATGTTGTTGGATCAGAGCTAATTTTCTATAAAAAGAAAAAAAAAGAAAAAAATACTCAATAAATAATCAATTTTTTATTGATTGATGTAGTAGTGAGTGTATGCTACTTATATTGACAGATATAAGTAGTATGTGAATTTGTCAAAGAAAAACGAAGATTGAACTGAAGAGAACAGAAAGGTATTGAGAATAACAAGAGAATTGAAAGAATTATAAAGGATGTTAGAGACAATTGGAGGAAGATATTCGAAGGGTGTATTTAAGGTATGAATAACACATTTCACTAAATCCTTATGTGATTGTATATTAATCAACTAGATGGTTATACCCTCATTAACTGTTTGTTCACTACAATTATTATTATTACCCCCAAATGCCCTAGTACGGCAGAAAGTGGGGAGAGTCCGCTCTCCCTCTCGAAAAGTTCTCACATAGCCACGCGGATATAGTTTATGCCAGGGAAGTCCTACTCAACTTCTTGTGGCGGGGGTGTTGCTTACGAAATTGAGAGGACGAAATGCGAATGTCCGGCACTTTAACCGGGTTGGTGGACGTGGAGAGTGCACCTAAGGAAGTTGGAAAACCCTCATTCCAAACCAATGGTGCACATGGGCTCCAGTATCCTGCGGGAACAAATGGCGTATGAACCAATCGTTGGTCACCGGCTACCAAGGGACTACATCTCCTTATATTGCTCCAATGCCTTGTGAATCAGACCTTCAGGTTGAAGTCTCCAGGCGTAGTCCCCTAAGAAAACCACCTGCTTTGGTTCGGGCACCCGGGTAGTACCAAAACCCTCACACATATCAAATGAGATTTGTGTGGCACATATATATTTGGTACCTCCTTGTACCGACATCTATGTGTTAAAATAAAAAAGTAATAAATACCAATTTTTATCAAACTGTACAAACGTGTATATATATACATATATGAGAATCTTTTTGTTCTGTTAAAGTACTAGTTGCGTGCGGAGATGTGAACAAGGAATAACCAAGATGATGTAATAGAACTGTAACGTGAATGTAGTAAGATGAATAAAATGATTTCTTTAATTGATTGAAGTTAGACATTAACACCGTTAGATGCTGACTTAGTGGTCTATGTGGTTGACTGTTCGCGTGCGAGACCGATAGGTCCTGGGTTTGAGGTTCGAATCTTTGAAGGCGGGATAATTGATGCACAGTGCTGAGGATTCCCATGATAGGACGAAACGGTCATCCAGTGCTTCGAAGTTTTTCATTATAGTCTAGCTTCAATTAACTCATGAGACATAAGTAAAGAGAGATATGCAGTAATAATAATAATTAAGGCCTAAGTATCGATAACGATATATATGCACAGTTCTGGCTTGAGCTCATGGATGGCAAGAGGTTCGGGTATTTTTAGGAGTTGGATACGAAGAAATCCAGGTAGATTTGAACGAATCGTATATACAACCATAAAATGAAACTGTGAATAGGTGGAAGGATTACAGTCAATTAGATGGTCAAGTATGGAACTCGTAACTGCTTTCCTCTCACCCTTGTAGAACCAAACTAGGACATGTTCCTGTATCCGAGTTGATAGCGAGCGCTGGCTATGTCAAATGTATCTTGCTCCAGAAGAGCAGATGAACTGGTAGATGCACATGGAGGTGACTAGACTGGGGGGTGAGCTTATCTCTTATGGATATAGAAATCAAGTTTCTACTAGTGAACTTTATCTGTCGCTACAACTATGTTTGGTATCAGTTTAATTCAATTTAAGATCAAGTCATCACTATAACAACTACTCTACTCGATTACTCATTCTGAAAGTGTGTAAATCACTTGAAAAATATAAAAACCGATCACTTTTGTTTGCATTTGTCTGAAAAATAATACTCAAATATTGAGAATGAAAAGATTTAGAATTATTATAAGTAAAGATGGGTGGCGGTTGACAGTGGAATCCAGGACATGTGTTTCGTCTTAGTTGAGACTTGTCAGCTGGATGTACTTACATCACAGAGTTGATGTTCACTCCTAGACTCGAAGCTAGTACCGTTCACTGATTAGTCCCATATAGAACGAAACGCATTTACCCGATTCCACTGCTCTGCACTATCTATCTTTGCTTATAATACTTGTAACTTAAGGCAGTATCGATGCACTCTGAATAGGATGCAAATATGCCAATAACAGACTGAGAAATTACAGTTCTAAACATCGATGGGAAGTTTCGAACAAACAATACAACATGATTATAATCAGAAAGAGATTTTGTGGATATTATAGTAATTTGTATGCCGACTCAGTGGTCCAGTAGGTTAAGCGATTGCGCGCGAGACTGAAGGCCTTGGGTTCGAATTCCGCGAGCAGGATCGTGGGTGCGCACTGTCGAGGAGTCCCACAATAGAACGAAACGACCGTCCAGTGCTTACAGGTTTTCAATGGTGGGCTAACATCAATCGGTTCATGATCTAAACCAAAAACTTAACAATCTCCACAACCCCTAAACTGATAGTAATTTAATAGGTGAATTCATGAGTCAATTAAAGCTAAACCGACAGGTCCTAGGTTCAAGTCCCGTATGTGAGATCGTGGATGCGCACTGTTGAGAAATCCTATACTGTTCAGTGCTTCAGGCTTTTCAATGGTGGTCCAACTTACATCGACTCATGAATTCAACCACTGAAACCTTTTATGACTATACGTATATTAACTATAATCTTTAAGCCATAATATAGTAGAATCTATGAAATATACTTACAGTACCACCATGAATCGCTGGTGATGTTTCAGCTATTTTACGTTTAAGCTCAATTACTGCATCTTCATGTTCCATACCGTTGGCAGCGGCATAAACTTTTGCTAATCGACCTTCCAGAAAACTTACAAATCCTGGGAAATCAACGTCTCTGAATAGTAAGTAAATAAGAAAAAAGAAACACTTATAGATATTTAATATAAACAATATTCATCTTTATTTATTCAGACAGATGCATTATGTTGTAATGGAGAAAACAACGACTTGAGATGGTGGGGAAGATTTGTAGCTCAGGTTGATGATTTTGATGGAGTTTTGTTCTCTCAGGTGAATGGTTTGGTCGTGGAGCTTTCATCGTTCTTCTGAACGACATCATCAGCACAAACTTCAGATAGAAGTGAAGTGTTCGAATTTCTCCATATGTGTTTCACAGCTTGTTCTGTACACCTCGACGTTGATTGGTTCTTATTGACCTTAAATTTGTCATTGTTTACTCCTTTGTTTTGGTTGTCTCGCATTGGGAGAGAACAAAACTCCATCAAAAACAACGACTTGACTTTATGAGGATGTCAATATAATGAACAACTCCTAAGTGGCCTTAAGAATGTCCACCTAATAACTAAGACTAAATGAGGGTTATAAAACAATATGAGGAATTAGAATTATGATTGACAGTGTATGGTTAGGTTTATGAATAGAATCTAGAGTTTTTATCACGAACTGATATTAGTTAAAATGGTAAAACGCTATCTAGACAAATGGATGAATGAATTTCGCGCCAAAATAGAAAACTTGTCTTCATAAATCTGATTGGTTCGTTCATAAATTATAGTCTTGTCTAGTTCTCGAAATTGTCAGCATTCACCCAGAGACTCTAATCATCATAAACTTATATGTAAGTTTTAATTTTTTGAGTTAACCTTAGTTACAAGAGTTTTATGTGAGTAAACTTAAACGTATTCATAGTATTAGATGAAGGACGATTATTATGGCTTGTTCATTCATCGAAAGACGACAAATGAGGGTCCACTCATCGAACAACAAAAACACTTTTGGACAAATTCCTAATTATCAGAATGGGTTTTGTGGAGTTCAACCAGGTCTGTTGTGAGATAGGAACTCACTGAAGACAATGGTGTACAGTAGCGCAACTTCGTGGATTGAAGTTAGACATTAACACCATTGGGTGCCGGCTCAGTGGTCTATTGGTTAAGTGCTCGCACGCGAAGTCAATAGGTCTTGGGCTCGGGTCCCGCGGGGTGCGGGATTGTGGGTGCGCACTGCTGAGGAGTCCCATACTAGGACGAGACGGCCGTCCAGCGCTTCCAGGTTTCCAATGGTGGTCTACCTTCAACTGACTCATGATTTCAACCTGCGAAATTCCTAATTGTTGTGTTAGCCATAGTGTGTCTTATCTATGTTATCATGGGAAATATTCAACCAAGCTCGTGAACAATCTTCATCTCAATTGCTAAGTTCATTGGCTTTTTCTTACTTTGTTGATAGAATCTCAATGGTCTTGCTGCTTTGTTCAAAAGAACCTTAATTAGAATAAAGTATTAAGAGTATAGTGTACTCATAGGACCATCTGTCCCTATACTGCTCTATTACTCAGCTTTAGTACGCAAGCCTTGATCCGTGGTCATTTCAAGCACAAAGACATCAAATAATGAAATCGCATATTAGACGGGTAAAACGACAATCATTGTGCTGATGTGACTTTATACAGAAAAAAAATTAAGAAATGATAGGTTTCCAAAATAAGTGTACACTAACTTGATTCTACAAAATTATGACCCTTATTTAAATGTAAATCTCGCGATTCTGTCGATCACCTATAACTACCTGAAAATTGATGTGCTTTTAGATGTTCAGTAAAAATCTCAATTTTATAATAGTATCAAACAGTAGGAATTATGTTTGAGATCATGAATAGATTAATGTTAGACTACCACTGAAAAACTGGAATCATTGGATGGTCATTTCATTCTAGTGTGGGACTCCTCAGTAGTGGGTACACACGATCCCGAACTCGGTATTCCAACGCAACGCTTAAGCTCTAGACCAATGGAGTCGACGATCAGTGACGTTAATTCCTAACTTCAAACAATCGACGATATTGCGTGAACATTTTCCATTGTCTGAAAAAGATACGAGCCTGGTGTACGGGAGAGGGGGGAGTAATTTATTTGAAAATACTTTGTGTTAGCATTTAGACATTATTATCATTAGATGCCGCCTCAGTGGTCTAATGGTTAGGCGCCCGGGGTTCGAATCTCGTGAGGCGGGATCGTGCGTCCGCACTGCTGAGGAGTCCCACAACAGGACGAAACGGCCGTCCAGAGCTTCCAGGTTTCCCATGGTGGTCTAGCTTCAATCGGCTCATGATCTCAACTATTAAAAGTTAATCAATTGTTCGATTCTGTCTGTCGTTGTGTGACGAAGAAGTTCAAAACCTTTATATACTTTACATGACTAACTGATTAATGAGATCGTTTAACCCCCAGTCTGCAATTTACAAAATAATGATAGAGAAAGGACTATATAATAAAACATTGGATAATTCAAATTGCTTTCATTTATTGGAGAGATTTATTTGCATAGTCGATAAGACGATAAGCTTCCTCATTACTGTAGACAATCAAGAATTAAAGAGCTAACATGTAGATAGCTAGTTTGAACTACAAATTTATTCTGAAGACTTCTTACCATTAAAATAAAGTAAGACGAACAAGATATTTCATAGACGAAATTCTTGTCACTTTATTTAAATTTTAATGGTTGAATTCATAAGTCAGCGTAAGCTAGATCACTAACTGAAAACTTGGAAGCATTGAACTGGCTTCCAGATAGATTTCCTGCGGTTTATACACATACAAAACAGAGAGGGGTTTTGTGGATATTATAGTAATTTTAATAGTTGAGATCATGAGTCAATTGAACTTAGACCACGATTGAAAACCTGGAAGCTCTGGACGGCCGTTTGATCCTAGTTTAGGATTCCTCAGCAGTGCGCATCCACGACTCAGTCTCGCAAGATTCGAACTCAGGACCTATCAGTCTATAGACCACTCAACGGTGTTCATGTCCACGAAATTCCACCACCGTCCAACATTGTCATCAGTAAGTTACAATCTTACAACATACTCGGTTGAACTCCACTGTTCACAGCTGCTCACTAGAACTCCAGTGAGCATATGATGATTATAATGAAAGAGAGGGATTGTGTGGATGTTGTAATAATTTAATAGTTGAATTCATGAGTGAATTGAAACTAGTACGGCACTCGTCAGTAGTATGCATCCACGATCCCGCCTTACGAAATTCCAACCCAAGACTTGTTGATCTTGCGCATGAACGTTCAATATCTAGACCAATGAACTGGCCGACATCCAACGATGTTCATTGTCTAACTTCAACTAATCTACAAAATTGCATCACCATCCACCATTATCTTCAACGAGTTCCTATCTTAAAAACACAATTGCATGAACGAAGAATATTCTTTTCAATAATTTCTCATCAGGTTCTACAATTATAAATCCAGATTAATAATCCATAAAATTGGCCAGATGGTTGGCCAATGGTTAAGATCATGAGTCAGTTGAAGCTAGACCACCATGGAAAACCTGGGAGCACTGGACGGCCGTTTCGTCCTATTGTGGGACTCCCCAGCAGTGTGCATCCACGACCCCTGCGAGATCCGAACCCAGGACCTGCTGGTTTTGCGCCCGAGAACTTAACCACTAGACCACTAGGCCGGCATCCTACGGTGTTAATGTCTAACTTCAACTAATCCACGAAATTGAGCGACACATCCACCATTGTCTTCAGTGAGTTCCTATCTCACGACAGACCTGGTTGAACTCCACTGGTCACTACTTCTCACTAGAACTCCAGGATATACCTCATGAAGCCAGTCACTAGTGAGCATATGTTGATTAATATCAGATGGGTTTTTGTGGAGATTGTAGTCATTTCAATGGTTAAGATCATGAATCTTACAACAGACTCAGTTGAACATCATTGGTCACTACTTCACATTAGACCTGTAGGAACTATCTCTTGGAGATCAGTCATCAGTCATCATACAAAATATCATAGAATCATTAAAAACTATCATTTGAATTACCTTTTAGTACTTCCAATATGTGCACGAAATTCAATATCAATACGATTTGTATCTAAATTTTTTGAATAAATTTGACAATCTGTACATAATTTTTTAATGGTTTTATCAGTTGCTGTAATAGAACCTTTTTTAACAAAATTACAAAATGATAAAAATGATTGTTTTAATTGATCTGATGACATTTTTCTAGATCCTTTATATAGATAGATCGATAGATAGATCGATAGATGAATCTGTCTTTGTTGAATGTCGACGCGTTGGATCGTATTCTTTATGTAGAATGTCTACGGATCATTGATGTATATATATATATATGTCTAATGTCATTCATTATTACGAAAGAGAATCATTTCATTGGTTAAATAGATTTTGGCTATTACTGATTATCATCATGATTTTGATTAGTTTTATGTAGGCAGTAAGTTTCATATTGGATTCATCGAATAGACCATTTCATAGTTAAATTCAATCTTTCAGTTTACTGATATTAAATAGAAAAATTCTAATCAACCAATCATAATGTTCAATATAATAAGTTTCTATTATGAAATGTAGATAGGCAGATTGGTGAATGAATTTAATACACACACACACTCACACATAGATACAAAGGATAATATAAGGACATGAGAATGGAGATTGGTAGAGATTGTAGTAGTTATAATAGTTACATTCATGAGTTGATGTAAGTTGAACTAACATGGATAAGCTGAATATATTGAAAGACTGTTACATCTTAGCATAGTACTCCTTAGTAGTATGCATCCATTATCCCGTACACGGGATTCGAACCTAGGACCTTTAATCTCGTGCAAGAATGTTTGATTTGTAGATCACTGAAATGGGACCTAATGGTGTTAATGTCTAACTTCTATTGATCCATGAAAAGTTGCGTAATCAATCATTCAATGGCTGGGATGAATAACTGTCGTCGCTCGACATGGACTGGACTAAAGAATTCAACTATTAAAATTAGAATACTATCAGATTTTATTGTTAAAACGATATTTATTCCTAGTTACCATTATTTTTGAGATTTTCTTCTGAAATAAAAGTACTCAACTAATCCAAGACCATGTTAAAACGGACGCGAAATATCGTGGATTGGTTGGCGTTAAAAATTAATGCCGTTCGACTCTCAATTAGCGATCTAGAAGTTAAGCGTTGATGCACTGGAACAAAAGATCTGGGTTCAAACCCGTTACGCGTGATCGACGATCAGCATTGTATAAATAGTACCACAGCAAGAAGAATCGGTCTTCCACAGCCTTCAGTTTTTCACTGATAGACTAAAATCGATCCGTTCAGAATCCAACCGTCTTACGAAGTTTATTCATGGCATCATTATTATAATAAAATAAGCCAATACGAAATTGGTTTTAATGTAAAATCAGACAAAATGGAGCTCACTAGTTTTATAATAAATACAGTCTAAACGAGGCAGCATTGAGGATTTCAGATAGACAACATAAAGCCTAATCAGTTCTCCGATAGAATGTATGTTATCTCGAATAATCTCAAATCATGTACAAATCAAAGCTGTAGTTGAAGTCGAGATCACTTCAAACAAGCAACGAATATATCACTGGTAATACAGAACATACACGACACAAACGATCCGAACTCAAACACCTCTGAAGATGTGATCAACGACAAGACAGAAAACAAGAAAACGACTGTCAACAAAGACACATCGACGCATTCTGTTACACTTAACAGATCGAAAACAGAAAAACAACAAGTATGGTGGATGCAACACGAATAGTCAATTGTGAAAATGTAAATCACTAGTTGTCGATACAAAGAATCCATGGATGTGTTCGCATCACCACATTCCAAATTCAACCCTATCGTCTACAATATCGAACCAATCAACTCCACAACACCTATGATCCTTCATCATGTTCAGACACGGTGACACATTATTCACATATAACTAACTTCCTGTGAATCTGAGTGTTTCTGATAATCACTTCACAGATGATCATAGTAATAATACTAATAATGATAACAACAATAATTATTATGATTATGATTATTTTGGTCGCATCGATATATTTCTACAAATGTCGATGCATTGACAAGTGTTGTTAGATGAACAAAAAACTGATCAACAATGAATATCATCTGTAAGATATAAAAAGTCGAACAGATCTCAACTGTCTAATCATAACCCTTTATTCCGCACTAGATCGTGTTGAACATCAACTGTATTGCACAGTTCAATCAATATGTCATGTGAAGAGATGATCGGTGTTTTGTTCCAATGGACATCTGCAACTGGCACTAATATCAACATCCATGTCACAGAAAACAACAACAACATGAACAAACCACATTGAGTGTTCGGTCATGTTGAGTTTCAGTGATAATGCTACAACTGAAATGAGCATATATTCGGTGATTTGTATGTTCAGTATTCCATCACCGTCAGATACCATCAAGCATAGTTAATATTCAGGCATGCATACAAAGTGTTCCAGTATTATTGAGGAACAATTACAATGACAATATGAGTTCAGTAGTGATGTGAACTATCGATATATAATCGACTATCGCAATTCAATATGACAATTCAATCTGATATTCAGTGTGTATTGATTGATCAGTCTTAAACAGCAACAAGTGAGTCGCATTGTGCATAACTATCCAGTGTCACTTGAAACCTCACAAAATTGACTATCTTCCTCAACGACACCCTGTTTGATCTATCAGATGATGATGATGATGACAATACAAGTGGTCATAAAATGCTCGACTACAAATTCAGTTGTGAAATTTCTACTCAATAACAAAATCACCAATACAGATACGGACATTACGGCAGAAAACTAATGCGCGTTTCGTTCGATTTGTGACGATGTTCTCAATCACGATCAGATAGATAATGTCATATAACATAATCACATCTATTAACCCTACTGTTCTCACAACAACAACAAGTGCCAAGTGTTTTACGATGATGATGATGATGATGATGATGATGATGTTTATTTCTGTAATCTACTCCGTTTGCTATCACTGACTGACTGTCACATGAACCGAACCGTCTTCATACCTTACCTACTCTCTCTCTCTCTCTCTCTCTCTCTCTCTCTCTGAACGTGCGTACATCCATGCATCGTGATCAAGCAGTATCCTGATGATAAACAGCAAGTAAATAACTGCCCGTTCTACTAACACTTCACTGACCAACACATACGAACACACACGCAAATTACACTGTACCACACATCCCAACTTATAGAAAACGAACGGAATGTTGTAGTAATTGATGAGGTTGTTTATTTACCGGAAATGTCTTAACACAATTGCGTGTAGATTTGTCGATAGATTATGTACATAGATGTATGAATGATATGAGTTGGTCGGAGAATTGTTCAAACATTGTTGAAATATTGTTCAAATATTGGAGCGTACAAAATCCATCCATCTAGCCACACTGGCATACTCGACAATGATATCGGGGAGGGTTGAAATTGTGACACCTTGTGATACGACACCGAGTACTGGACCTTGAGGGGATGGAAGGAGAGGTCCACCACTGTCACCTGGAGCGGGTAACTGTCCCATATTCTGACCTGCTTTCACACAAATAGGATTCCCACCGGTCGGATGTTTGCATTCGATTACAGACGCTCGACCTGTGTCAAACAAACAACATAACAAAACACAATAGAACAGACAAATGAATTTTCAAAATATCAACTGGCACAAATTATCTAAACTCAAACTATCCACACAACAAATAGTTCACACGCAATCTCACTCACATGTGCAATCTCATATGTGCACCATATTCGCCAATCAACTCACTGTCCATCTCACCACTCTCCCGACATGTACATGAAACTGGTTGACCATCTACTTCATGTACAACAACACTCATCCATCGTTAGCACAGAAATGGATCTTCACTCATCCAATCCTATCTCATCCAACTCCATCACACCTCCCCAATGAACGAGATGGAAATGGATTCACTCTGCCAGTGAACTCTCACAGATTGATTCGAATATAGTTATTGAGGCTCTGACCAACACAACAACTGGATCAGACAGAAAGACAGACAGACAGACAAACAGACAGACAGGATGAGTCATATTGTTTGTTCACCACCACCAAAATGAACAACCCACTCACTCACCTTTCTTTAAAATTCCACCATTTTTACGTTGTGGATCACGGTCGTTATCATCCCTTCCATAACCAACAATGAAAACCGGAGTTCCAGGTGTCGGTATATCCGTTGGCTGTGGCAGACTGAGCACCTTGATTCCAGTCCGTACGTTGACCAATTGAGCGAGCATTATAACTGCAATGTCGGCTCCACTGATTGCATATTGGGCTGGTTCCCCCTGTCGTTTCGACGTACAAGAGGGCATGTAATCTGGTGCGACCTTCACTCCTGACGGTTTGTAATGGATTCCTTTTGGGTCTCCGATCCTCAGTGTGAGAAATGAAACCTGAAATAGACAAAGTATATCGACATTAGATCTATGCAAATCAACTTCACACACCCACACACTTTCTGTGTGAAATTACCCAATTACGTTGAGCGAAAATGTGTTTCAGTGCAATTTCTTACCCGAGAGACTGGCAGCGGTGAGCAAACACAATGACCAGCTGTGAGTACTGCCCTTGTTGACACTAGTGAGCCAGTACACATCATTTTTCCTGTCGTTAAAAGTGCGATGAATGGGAATTCAGCGCGTTGTTGCACAGGCTCACCACTACGTATCAACCAGGTTGACACACGTTCAAATGTTAGACAGCAGATGAACAGTGTCACCACCAGAAACGTCCATCGGTTCAACATGACTATGTAATCACTGCAATCGACCACCTACCTACAATCTTGCAACACATTCACCTATTTATATGCACCAATATTGCGTGACCGATCAGTACATATGCGTCATTTTGAATATGTGTCCGTTTATTATTATGCGAAAACCAACTTGCACTCCACTTCATTCAGACATGCATTGTTTTGACGGTTTCACTTTGTAGTGATAACACGCCCCAATTATTAACCGGAAGGTGCACGATTCTCGTGTATTGTTGTGGTATATTTTGCTGTATAACAATCTTGCTCAACTGTTCTCGAGAGTATGTTATCAAAGAAGGAAACCACTCCTCATCAATCGATGAACCAATGTTCGGTGGATTTTCACTCCCAACATTTCCTTAACATAACACCTTGGACTTGTCAGCCTACATAATACTCGTTGTGAACAATCACTTTATCCAAATTCGAAGATCAACATCGTTTCACTTTCCAAATGGTGACTATTTTCAAATCACACTCAGACGTTCGTTCAATCACTGTTTCCTCCCCCCCCCTACAAAACTCACTTGCGAATCACATCTGATACCATACATGGCAAACATGATGATAGTTAACGAGGCTTTCTCTCTCCCTCTCACAATTTACATGCTACAGTGGAACCTGTGCAAGTGATAACTGAAGAGCAAGCAAGGCAATTTACTCACTCACTCACTCACTCACTCACTCACTCACTCAGTGAATTCTCTTCATGTCAGAGTTTATCTGAATTACGTTTCTTCTCGTCTAATATGTTGACTTTATCTCATTGACTAACACTGTCTGGAATTATTTGATTGTATGAAATGAACATTGAAACTTATCTGAAAATATTGCATGAATGTACTAATGGGAATTATACAGAATAAACTATAGCAATGTCATACGGAATGCAGTATCTTCCATTGTTATAATATTTCGGGGTATATTCTACACTGACTTGCCCAGTAAACCTTGTCTTACCAATAGATAGAAGTGCGTGTTTCGTACACAGTGGTCTCACCTCACAATGATAATTGCATACATAAGTCGAATGATCATCTTGAATATTGTGAAACACACTAGCCATATACTAGATAAGCAAATCATATTGGTTACGCATAAGATTATATAGCTCTTCAGTGATCTCATTCGTGAGGTTAGTATATAACACACCATTACGTAATAATTGATTCATTTTCTCAAATAATATCAATGTGTCCACAATGTGTATGTTTGTGCACTTAACTCAGTCGGAGACTTTATTTCACTTACAATGGAATTGATGTCTTTTACCAACACGTGAATCTAAAGATTTCACATGAATTGGGAGTTTCACAACGCCCTAACCAGTAACAACTTTCATGATCAAAACGTGTCAACCTAGTGGAATCAGAAGTCAGAAGCGAACAGGTTCGAAGATATATCGGTGTATCGGAATATCGATGTATCAAGAAGTGATTAATGTAAGCTGGTTAGTGGTTGTAGGAGATGTGAATCACGGCGTGCCCACTCGTGATGTGGTGCGGATGCGTGACCGAACGCCTTCTGATAGATGAATCAATTGAAACTAATTCGGTCAGTATCAAATGTCGAAGACGTACAGATCTTCTGATTTTGGGGAGTTTCTTACCATTACAGATCACTTCCACAGCCATCGGAGTGGTGATGACCCTATGATGTGACCAGTCAGAAGTTTAAACGAAACGAATTAATCGTTGGTAAATACCATTCTGATAGCTTGTTATGTTCAGTAGCGTCTGGTCGTCATTTCTTATTATAAGGGGCGATCTGGTACATTCTAGTGATGACAAACAGCTACAACGAATATTTCGATTCATCATAATCCTCGTCGGTTTCTTCATCTTTTCCAGTCATCGCGGAAAAGAAAAAGAATGACGTGTGAGTGCGTGTCGAATTACACTCGTACACGCGTGAGAACACAAAACAGGTGAAAAAGCAAAATAAACACATATACAAGCGTCAAATAAACATGCAGTAGCCTAAAAATGATTTTCGCAGAGTGATGTTGTTCAGTCTATGGAAGCGCCCAAATCACCTAATTAAGATTCGCCCTAAATCGATGTTCACAAGGCAACGATCTGTCTACAATAGTGGTTCATTATTGAATGATATACAAAAACTGGTGACAAACGTCAACTTGTGAGGTGTCTGTGGCGTTTACTGCGTCCTTTTGTGTGAAATAAAATGGCTACGATAGTGCAAATTGACAGCCGTTGTTTGTGTCTAAACTGGTTAACGGTTTATCAACATGCAAAAATTGAACTGAGAGCAGACAATATGGAAACTGTTGCACTCAAACAAGGATTATACGTTTGCACCAAAGTGTGAATATCTGCTATCATGATAGCTATGAACTAATTCTAATGATAATTACGATAAATGTTATAAGTATATGTCACTACTTCAGAATAATACACGACAAACTTGCGTTACAACATGAGAGTAAAAATTGTTGGGAATACAATCATCTACTCAATATAAATAGGTTAGTATAAAACAATAAACAAAAGAGTTGAAGGGAAGTGAATACGGACAGAGAATGTGGAACGGAATTCACAGATGATTTATTTTGTTTCTTGAAAATATATACACATATAAGCAAGTATATCAGCAACAAAGAATACACATATGAGCATATGAAAAATAGTTTGTCTTTGTTTATTAGTACAATATTACACGACTAAAATCGAGACGAAATAATCAAGTGTGATGTAGTGTCTTACGTGCAGTAATCGTTCAAGTGTTCATCAAAACTTACTCTTCTTTCATAACGCGTCGTTTTGAGTCGGCAGTCAGGTACCAAAGAAGTGTGATCGTGATTGTTGATTACCTGGTGAGATATCGTAATTGTGGAGCTCGTATCTTTCGATTGTACCGAAGGCAAATCGACACGAATTCGGTTTATTTCCAAATACGCGGCTTTGAGACGATCGGTACTGATGCTATCACTAGTCCTATTCTCATCGATTATATAGTACTTAGGTTCACGCTGAAAGACTTTGAACGGTCTTTCGTATTCCGTCTCCAGGTGTCGTCGAAATGAATCTTGACGTGCAAAAATATGTGTACCATATCGTAGGGCAGGTTGAACGAAAACATCAGTTGATTGCGGCCGAGTGGAGACAGGTTAAACTAATGGCATTGCCTTTGTAAGCCTGCTCCTGTAGATGTCTAGACCCATATTCATTGAACATGATGAAAGATTCACAAATTCTCCTGGAAGCCGAAGTGTCGTTACGTAAACGATTTGAGCTACAGTATATCCAATATCAGCTTTCAATGCATTGCGAATGCCGAGTAAAACAAGTGGATGAGCGTCGGTTCACTGTGAAACGTTTGCAGCTGAGAGTGAAGCTTTCAACTGTGGGTGGAAGCGTCCTACCAGCCCGTTCTCTTGTGGGTTGTAGGCAATCGTTCGGAATCGCATGATTCCTAACAGGGTAGTCACACAACGGAAAAGTCCAGAACCGAACTGATGTCCACGGTCTGTAGTGATAGTTGAACGGCAGTCGAAGTTTGCTACCCACTGCTCGACGAAATTCTTGGCCACTGTTTCAATAGTATTGTCATTGATAGGTACTGCTTGTGCACATCGTGTAAAACGGTCTACACAACTCGAGAGATAAGAGTATCTATTTGAATCTGGTCAGAGTGATATCAAATCCAGATGGACATGGTCGAGACGATCATTGGAAGTTTTAAATGGACCTAAGAGACATTTATTGTGTCCAATTACCTTAGATTTCCAGCAGCTTACACAGGAGCGTGCCCACTTCCTCAAGTCTTCATCCAAACCAGGCCAGCAAAATCCTTCTGCTGCGAGCTTGATGGTTGCACAAACACCTGGATGAGAACTTTTGTGCAACGTGTTGAAAATATTGTGTCCATAGTGTTTCGGCAAGATTGAATGGTCCCTACCTATGAAGTTGCCACATAGTAGGATTTGCTCACCCGTCCCCATCTGTTTAATACGCAGTTTCAGGGTTGTCGAAGATAACTTGTTCTGAAGATCAGTGTGTTCTTTTTTAAGCTGGGCGAGTTTAAGAAGGTCAAACCCATGGAAACTGTTCAAGGAAGTCAACGAGATGATAAAACGTCTGCAACTACATTTTTTGCTCCAGGAATGTGTTGTATATCTGAAGCAAACTGAGAAATATCGTCCACTTGTTAAGACTCTTCAGGGGAGTACTTGTCTGAAGATAAGCTTAAAGAGAAGGTAAGAGGTCTGTTGTCAGTGAAAAGAGTGAATTCTCGGCATTCCATGGAGTGTTGAAAGTGCCGTACAGCACAATACATGGCGAGAGGATCCGTACCGAAAATGCTACACCTCCATTCCGTGTGCAGTAACTGTCTTGAGAAGAATACTAATGGTTGTCAGCTGTGGTTGACACATTGTTTTAAGACTCCTCCGATTGCCGATTCGGATGCGTCTACTGCGATAACAGTGGATACTTTGTCCTGGTGTGCTAGTAATGTTGCAAAAACAGATAGATAAGTATTTCCATCTACTATCCTCCGTTTGCGTGTGTCGATGGGTAAATTATGATGATGTAG